GGGAAATTTTAGTCTTCAGCCATGGGCTGTTCATGACAAAACGGTGCCTCCAGTTTGCTCTTAATATAGAATATCTGCTCTAAATCCCCTTTTTGAATAAACATCATGTTTTGGATCACGCACTGTAAGCTTTCTTACTTAGTAAAAAAAAAAAAAAGTGTAAGAGAGATAGCATACTATATTCATCTGGTAGCATGTAAATACACAGAAAATTTGTGAAGACATGGTAGTCGTTACTGCTACAGAGGACTTTAGTTAAACACTAAAAACGAATGGTGGGACCTACTTTATCCAATTATCTTTCAAATTTTTTATGGCATTTTAACTACTTCAGTTTCAGAGACATTTTTCAACTTAAGAATATAAAATGGTTGTGAAGTAGATCCAGAGCCTTTTTAAAAAAGCATACAGACTGAGGCACAATCATATACAGTGCTGCAGAACAGCAACCTTAACTCTCATTTGTACGTTTGAAGTTCAGCAATGGGAGATGAAAAGTCCTGGCTTTGGGGTGAGAAAAGTTGCTTCTGATATTAAAGAGCAAACAGCCATAATTACCACTAGTAAAGGATTAGTTGAATGTTTAGGACTTGGTACCATCCTGGAATTCAGTTATTCCAGTTTAATAACACTTGCCATGACATCAGGAAAAAAGGAAAAAAGATTGGATAGATTTTAAAGATCCTATCTTTTATGTAAACGACTACACACATGGCTAAAGTGACAAGTATGCAGGCTGTAGCACGCTGTGCATTATAAAGTTAGAGAATATTTTAATTCTTGGTCTGAAACCTTGCAGTTCCACCAAGAATTTGTTACACTTCACCTGTTTCAGTTTTTCAGTTTATTTTTTAGCAATTTTTATACAAGTTATTTCAGTTGCTGACTTAAGCAATTTGTTCCATACCTCAACCCTCATTTTGTGTAAAGAAATCATAAAAGTTAGGAACCTGAAAATTGGATTTTTCTTTTGAGCAGCTGCTGTCCACAAATGTGGAAAAATTGTTAAAAGTGAATAGCGTCACTTTCTAGCAAAATGTAGGCAAGTTTGATGACTGAATCTCATATTTCCATTACTGTGCTGTCACCAAGCATTATTATGTTGGCACTCGTAGATATACGGAAGAAAAAGAAAAGCTCTTTAGGGGTTTAAAGATGTATTTGTACAGCCATGGATGTCAGTGGTCCTTCTTCATTGTTGAATTGCATTTATTATTAAACACAAATTTATTGATTAAAATGTGGTCTATAATGTTTTGCAGTATATAATATTGTTCTTTCACAGTGCAATAGGTAAACGAGAGTATACAGAAATGACATGCACATGAACACAAGTGTTTATTAAAAAAAAATCCTTTTAGTGTAGCTGGCTCCCTAAGTCTTTGTACCTATGCTTTTGGTGACCTGATGGGGACTAGACAGTTTAATTTTTTTAAAAAATCTTTGATAATATCTTTTATTTCTGTATTACCCATTTTTACATATCACACTCATTTCAGTGTGCTGACATTCCCAATCAGAGACATCTGGTCTGTTGCATCTGCTGTGCCTCCACCAGGGTGCCACTATTAACGAGACTTTCTTCCTGTGGCTGTTGTAACAACATCTAATAGTTTACACTTAGTTTTCTGTTGAGGATCCAGTTTTACAACATTAAATATTTGTCTGAATTTGTAAAAGTTTTTAAAAGTATCTCCATATATGAATTGCTTCTGATTTTGGTTTTGGGTTGGTTTGTTTGTTTGTTTTAGATCATTTCAGCTAATACTTTAAAGCTTTTTTTTTTTTTTCCCAAATCATATTTAGCAGTCTTTTAATTTGTATTCGTCAAAACACTTCTCTTCCTAGCATAATTATTTTTGGTTTTGTTACCCACAAAATCAATGTGTATGATTAGTTTGTCAAGTCTCAGAATATTTTTCTGGACTCCACTTTATGTGGAGCTCAAATGTTGCTGTTTACTCTCGTTACTGGATCACAGGAAGGCTTAGGAATGACGTGTTTTAGTAGCTACTTTTACCCAAGTTTCCATCAGGGTTTGTATGTGTATGTGCAATGTAGGTTCCACATGGAATATATATTTACTAAGTCTTTAAGATTGTACCAATTGGTAAAATTGTAACAATTTTACAACAATTTTAATTGATAAAATTTTACTGAATAAAATAGAACATTAAGGTTCTCAGACACTTTGTATTAAATCAAAGGAAAAAATAATTTGAGGAATGTTTTTTTTCCTTGTTCTGAGCGGTTACCTTTCTAATACTAAGAAAAAAACCATCTGTTCTATAATTTTATGTTATTATCACCTGACAGGTCCAAGAATCTTCGGATTTGTTCATAGTATAAGGCTTTCAAGATGTCCTCCTTGACCTTTCAAAAATACAAGTTAGTGCATCTGGTAGAAAGTAATTTTATTCACATTAAATGGCAGAGGGCAGGATGTCCTCACAGTCGATACAGGGATGAGATTGTTGTGTCCGCGGGGGAACATTAGAGCTAGCAAGACCCACTTTATAGAGGCATTGCTAGTCTTCCTGAGTGTCCAGTTCAGGAATCACAGATAGGTCTTCTGGGTAAATCATACTGTAAGCACTTATGCATACATTGGTTCCATTTGCACATTTTGGTGCTGAGCAAATCCTTACTGAGCAGTCCATACCTATTGCTTTGTTTCTTACTAGATTCCATATGGCAGAATCTTTTTTCTATGGTACAAACATAGCATTTAATGTCTGATTGGAGACTCAGGCTGGATCAGATCAATCATTCTCCTATTCAGTATTTCAAATATAATAATTATATTTAGGAAATTTTAGGGAAGAGTTTAGAGTCGTTGTTGAGACCTCAGAGACCTTAGAATCACTAAATTTGCTTTTCCTCTTCTAAACAGTTTCTAGGTAGGGGAAGGAGAGAAAAAAGGAAATATTACTTTGGAGGCCACACAATTATCTGAGCATGTTGTACGTGTTTTAATGTTCCTTCTGCACAGTCCATTTTGGCAATATGTGTAATGCAGATGTTTTTAGGCTGCAATGGGACTGCTTTTTCTATTGTAAAATTCATGTCACTCATTAACTTGTCTTCCTAGAAAATGGAGTTTGAAGGCACAGAGATATCTAGAGGTAGTAACTGCATCAGTAGATTTTATTTCTTTTCTTGAGTGCTTTCACTAAGGAGAGATTTCTAATGAGAAATTTGTTCTTTGCTTAATTATGCAAGCTGCTGCTATAACTGTGTGTTTCTGTATGCAATCCAATCAGTATACAAGTGAAAAAATACCATCGAAACTTTTGGGCATGAGTTTAGAAAGCCAGTTGTAATAGCTTTTCACAGAACTTCTGATACAGAAGTTAAAGGCAAGAATTTCACAGGGTGTAGCTAGATGTGTATCTTGAAAAATACCTTTTTTTTCTGAAGAGTTTGAAACTGAACAGAAAGGAAACTCTGGAGCTTTTAGCTTGCTTCTGATGATATATGCTGTAGTTACTGCAGGTGACATTCTCATTCTCTTTTGTTAATCTCATTGAAAAAAAAAATGATATTAGACCTTTATTTGTCACCTTCAACTTGGTGAAATTATGTAACTCTAATCTTGGGTTGGAGGGCCAAATTTAAGATCAGACTCTGAAGATCTTTTCCATCCAGTACTGTCAGTGAATAACAGCTTGTTTTAAAAAAAAAAAAAAAGTATGATTTTTAGAATAAAAGCATTTGGGGGGGGGAGGGGGAGAGAGACTTTTAAGACAATAAAACACTGAAAACACGTAGTCAACAGCCAGGTGAGCGTGCTAATGGGTTATCTAACCACTGTCCACATAAAAAGTCCGAAAAATAAAAATCCTCCACTGACCTTTCTTCTCAGCTTGATAGCTGAAACACTGTACTTGCTACCTGCCTGACAGAATACTGTTCTGTTCTGGTGACCCAAAGTTGTGGGCAGAAAAAGGTCATGTGTTCATACTTTGGTAATAAATATTGCTACTTCCAGTGCTTAATTAAAAATCAAACAATTATCTTTTTCTGGAAGCTACATGATAGGGACTTGAAGTTGCTAGATTTGGTCAATGTCTTTTAAATACATTCTTGGATGCTTCTTATATGGGAAACCATTGAACTGATTCCTTGTTTGCTCTTCCCTAATCCTTTAAAATAAGTTAAACTAATATATGCAGAAATCTTGTATGCCTTACTTTGCTTGAGTTCTCATTTTCATTACATCTAAAGCTATTGTATTTTAGTTTTTATTACTTCCTGAAGACCATGAGTCATTATTTTGAAGCCCATCTTTTTCCCTGTGAGAAATTGTAGATCCACTTCTTACTTTCTAGTTGGATTGCCTGGGCTTTATGCATCTTGGTTGGACTTGATGATCTTAAAGGTCCCTTCCAACCTCAGCAATTCTATGATTCTATGATCTGCTTGACTAACATATAAATTATTGTGAGTGTTACTTTTCTGCTAGGTAAGGTTTCAGGACAGAAAAAGCAACATTAACCATCGTACATTGCTTTAAACCAATAGATAGTAATTAAACAGTCTTAAAATATTAAGAAACAAATATTATAAACTAGACTTCATGAGTTACTAGGAAAATCCTGCCTAATCTGGTAAGAACGTAATAACGTATATTTTTTTAAAAAAAATACACTGTAAAATCTAAGAGAATATAGAGTAATTGTATCCTTCTATAGCTTTACAGAGGAAAATAGCTTACCCTGGCATAATTTGATGCATTAAAAATGAAGAATGATTGTCACTTTATATCTAGTTTTATAGGTTTCTTTAAAATTATTATTACAAGGTATACTTGGTATTTTTATGTTAAGAATAACAATATTTGGAAGGTTTAGACGAAATTCTTCATATTATTTGAAACAGAAAACAACCTTTCTGCTTTAAATCAAGCTGGCACAAAAAAAAAAGTCCCTATACATGGTCTTCTCAACAGCTCTACATGCTTTTTTCTTTATTTTATTTTTGTATTTGTGTGCAACTAGGCAATACTACAGGACCTGGAGCAAAGACGTCCCCAACTGGATGAACTAATAACTGCAGCACAAAATCTAAAAAACAAGACGAGTAATCAAGAGGCCAGAACAATAATTACTGACCGCAGTAAGTGGTGATTCTGCTATCATATGATGTTTCAGCAATTATGGAAAATGTTTTAATACCTGATAAGCATAGCATTTTTCAGACACTTTATGCCTTTGCCATGAGAAGGAGAGTTACATCAGGACACAGTTCTCACTCAGATTTTCCAAATTGCATACAGAAGAAATGTAAGTGAAAGTCAATGACCATATGTTTCAAATTTTTCACCTTAATTTCGTATTGCTTGTCTTCATAGTGGGTGCACATTGTAGAAAATATTGAATGTGATCACTTTAGATAAAGAAATACGTTTATTCTTAAACAAGGAGGAAGAAGAAAGAATTCACAGAGTATAGCCATAGGCTTGTAAGAAGCTTTAAATTTCATCCCCTGTAGTACCGCTGCAGCTTCTTCTTTCATCTCCCCTCAGCTGATGCACAAATCTGATGATGTTTTATATTAGTCTGTATTAATTCTCCAATTCTGGTTTCCCTTTCCAGAATTAACCAACTAGCTGCGTCTAAGGTGGAAAAATTAGTAGATTAAGTTTTAGAGGAAGTCTATAGAAGACGTAGTCTTGTCACCCTTGGATGCTTGTGTGTCCTTATGCCCTTCACTATAGGATGAAACACACTGTCAAGGCTATATATCTTCAGTTATTATTTTGAGAACTCAGGACTAAAAACTACAGAAAAATTAATTTCTTATGGTCCTAGAGGTGCTGTGTGGAGCTTAGAGAAGACCCAGGCCAAATATTTTGCATGTGGATGCAGCCAATTCACTTTAGGTGAATGCAAATTGTTCTGTACCTCTTGGCCTGGAGACCAGGGATTGCTCCCTGAAACCGATGACTGTGAAGGTCATCATAGGCTAAACTTCTCTGTCTGCATAATTTAAAATATATATACACACACACACATTACCTCTTTCTTTTTAATCCATCAGGTAAATACTTTCCATAATATGTCAAAATCACATTGCATGTTTGGACTGCATTGCTGTTAGTAGCACATACAGATACTATTTAGACGATATCCTATGGGAAATAACATTGTTTAGCAGCTATTCTCTACCTGACCTTGAAACATATTACTGAGAGAGAGAGAAACTGTATTTGTTTTGTTTGAAGACTGAGAAGAAATGGGTAGCACTTATATATTACGTAAGAATCTGTTGCTGTTTGACGTGCAAATTAATTTTAGAATCACATACTCAGTTGAATTCAGATAAAGTGTTGTACACATACCTTAACTTTACAGCGCTTATTCAAAGCCAACATATGTAGTAGTCCCATCAGTATTTTCTAGTATGTTTTAATTTTTAATTCTGAGACAAGTCTTCTGAAGATAAGAATTGTAGACTTTACAAGAAATGCAAGCATAATCCCTATGTGCTCTCATGTGAATTGTATGCATGACTAAATTTTGTTCTGTTGGAAAATTGCACTTCACTTTAAGTGAAATTGACTTCTAAGATAGATTAAATGCTTCTTTCTCATACAGCAAAAAAGGAAAGCAAGCTATCAGACTGTAAATCATGAATGAGTATGTGGTAACACAACTATATCAGAGCTTGCATCTGTAGCTAGCGGTGTGGTGAATATATTTTAGATGATGATTTCTTAGTTTTTATCTATAAGAATACCCAAAATGATTAGCTGGTTTTGACTGATTTTTGCTGAGGTTTAGCAATTAATTTTCTGTGCTGAAACTGTCAATATCCTTTACTGCAAAAGCAAAACTTATGATGCATTAGGTACAGGTCACATCCCTTTATGTTCTTTCAAGTACATCTTGCTGTAGTATAGCATCTTCTAATATCATCCTGTAGTTGGTAATGAAATAATTTTAAAGTAAACCAATTTTTATTGTTAGAAATATACAGGGTCTGCATTTCTGCAATGGAAGGAGATAAAGTGTGATCAGAGCTGGTTTTGATCCAATCTTCTGAGGCAGCAAACTAAATTCATGAAGGCTTTTTCATGCTTAGTTATTTTATCTTTGTACAATTGTAAGTAGTACTAAACACTATTCAAGAGGTAATTTTTACTCTTGAATTTTAAGGAGATCATGATATTTCTGGGGGAAAAAAATGCTAGGACTTCACAAAGTGACACGTACAGTTTTTCCGAATATATGCCAAATGTGGCAGACTGTCACCTAAAATACTCCTTTAAAAGAAAAATACTAATTTTTATATTTTTATTACATGATTTATTTTTTTTTTCCTGTGTGTTGTATGAAGAAGATGGAGATTGCTCTGTTTGGTTTGGATTAGGCCTGCTAAATACCTGTATAGGCAGGATCCATTTGTTCTTGCTGCAGCTACCGTGGGGATAGTTCAGCCTTCCCACCACTTCACAGTGCTATACTGTTCTGAACATAGAAAGACTTTCCTTACCCCCAGCACAGCTGGGGTGCTCTCTAACCGTGTGCTCTCTAACACAGCTCCTCTGAAGCCTGCTGTGCTCCCAGGTAGCGCAGTTGGTTTGCCTTGCAGTGCAACACATACTTGAGCCCAGCCTACTGCACCCAGGGTGTTGTCTCCAAGACCATCCCTGGGAATCTTGCTCGCAGCCAGAGCTGAACCCTGGACTAGAGAACCTGCTCCACTTGCTAAGCCCTGTCATTCCCCACAGCTCTAGAGGCCGTCCCCTCTGTTATGCTTGGACCTTGCACTAGAGTCCTGCTGCAAGTCCTCCCTGACTACCTCACTCGCAGACCATTTCCCATTTTCTGTGGTTATTCCGTCTTCATGAATACAAATAGGTTACCATGGTTATGTCTTAGCAGTTATTAGTATTCATTCAAATCTATCCAGTTTCATGACCTGAGCATCAGAACTGTGCCATACGTGCTCCTCTGCACAGTTGTGTACCGGTCTCACATGCAGCCTTCTGTAAGGTCACAGTATCAGGTGCCAAGTGCATTGGATCCCATCATTAAGGAAAGGGAGCGCAGGGCTGCGCTGGTCTGTCACGGAGGACCTGGTAGACTCAACTATATCTAGTTCACTACCTCTTCCTGGGCTGAAGCACAGGATCTCACACTTTGAGAAGTAAAAAGCTGAGAAGATGAGCTGATTTGTATGAATATGTTGTTCACTGCCTTTTGCATGAAGGTGCTAGTAAAAAAAACCAACACAATCATCTTGCCAATATCACTGAACGGATCTATTATAAATACTAAATGAGGCTCATAGCTACTCTACAAGATAGCTGCATTCTTGGTCACAGGATGCCATCAACTGGAATTAAAATCCTGAAGGTTCTGCCTTCTGTGCTAACATTGGTAACTCTTAAGTTACTCTGCTTGCAGAAACATGTATATTACGCTTGTTAAAGTCTAACTTTGAATTATATTTAGAAGCCAATATTGCTTTTGAAAGTATTTATAAAAACAAGCAAGGTAAACATTTTATACAAAATCAAGGAAATCAGAAGACATTTATCAGACAATCTCTATGAAGAACTGCAAAAAAGTCAATGATCATGCGATTATTTTTCAACAGAATTGTCATAGTATCACATAGGTTTAGTCTTTCTTTAGGAAATGAAAACAGAAAGATAAGCTCATATTTCCTTTGAACCTTTCTTCCCCCCATCATTATCTGTATGAGATTGCAGGAGCTATACTGCATAAAAAGTACTTGGCTCTGTAAAGTAACTTTGTCTTACATTATACTCAAATCTCGGCTTATGCTATGTGAATCATAGTTGGTTTACAACTTATACATTAAAGAGTACATAAGAATAATAATTACATTTAGCCTTGAGGAAAATTTGTGGGAAAAAGCAAGATACTTCTCTGTTCTTCTAATGCCCTCGATAAAGCATTCTGTTCTAGCAGAACCATATGCTGTACAATAACATTTTTCTCTACATAATGCATCACAGCTCCAAAATGCTCTGCTTTACTGCTGATGAAAATGTTGTTTCTTTAAATTGAATGCATTTATAAGCATCTTTGAATATAATAAAGTAATTAAACTTTGAAAATTCCTTTTATTTTCCATCAGTTCCTATGTATAGAATACATAAAGCCAGTAACAAGTCAATATAGAAATATACTGAGAGATAATAAAAACAAATTTACAGTCTTAGAAGTACCAAAGTAATTACAAAGGCTATGTTAGATGTTGCTAGATCCTGGAAATGTAAGAAACTTTAAACAGCAGGCCTTCCTACTCCTGTGTTCACACACATGCAAAAGATAACGGTGAATAACCTTTCTGCGGTTTTACTTCACTAGTAATTTACATGCCTATTTTGTAATGTGGTTTCTGGCTGTGTAAGCAATTGAGGAGGTATGAAAATGAATATTTATAGAACTCTGTGAAAAAATAATCTCTTAGTGACCAAAGAATCTCGCTTTCAAGATTATAAGAAGCCAAAGTAACACACATCTTTCTTCAGCAATTGTGTGAAATGTAGTGAACTCTCAAAATATCACTTGATAGTTTAATTATGTTCCATTACATTAAATACATAAACAATAGCAATAAATACAAGCATTTCAGTGAAGATTATTTTGATCAAGAATTAGACGTTGGGACAAATGATTCCTTTTGAAATTTCATTTGGCAGGTTTTAAAACCAAGTCCACAAATGTATGAATAATTTATAGAAGATGTCTTCATAAGAGCTATTTTGTTTTTGTGGTTTGTTTTTATTTTTTATTTTTTTTGAAAGAAAGAAAAGCTATATGTTATAATTGGTTGTTAGGAGAGCTGCGCTTGAACTAATCTGAAAAGAGTCTGTGTGTCTCTGTGCCACTTCATAAAAATGCCTTTATTGAATAGTTTGCTGTATTTGACAGTTTTATGGCAAAATCATCAACTTGTCATCACTTTCACAACAAAATGTATGGAAACTCCACAGTGAATTACAGCTGTACTCTTGTTCTCGACATCTTAATAAAATAGCCGTCTCCATTGTACTGCCATCCATGAGGTTTTCTCTTAGAGCTATTGAATACAAATAAAGAGTTACCACTCGAAAAAACAAAGTCATACAATCTGGA